ACAGCTTCAAATAATTTCACTGCATTTGAATAACAAATTATTTGGAGAAGAATGTTCTTTCTGAATTTGAAATAATGAATACCAGACGAGTCACGCTGATTTCAATATTCTAAGAATTAATTATCAGTCTTTAATCATCATTAGTTTGTTGAAAAGACATTTTTTTCAGGATCGCTTCAATTAATTTACTTACGACAAATTTGCGACACATCCGGACAGCAACTATCGTGCGTGTTTCTCGTGAAACAGTTTATTCTCGGCGCAAGGAATGCGCAATCTAAGGCCGCACAGACAAAGCTCGCACTAATCACAAAATAAGATAATATGTTGCTACAAAATTTTCTGTGAAGAGTAGAAATTTGAAAGTAAACGTAATTACAAAAATAAATAACTGATAAAAATATGGAGAGGAAACACAAGATCACGTATCGAGTTGAAATAAAAAATGTATTGTTTCAGTGTTGCAACATGGACACAGAATAATTTTCTATTAAAGTTCTATTTCACTTCACGAATATTCGCGAATAGTCTAGTTATCATGCCAATATCAAATTATCCACCAGATGTCAGACTAAATTCGAAAATCATATTTATCTATACGTGTTTATATCTTTCACTAATATTTCACTCTCGTGTGTTATATACCACGCAATTCCAAAAAAAAAAACAAATCAATTAATTCATTAATTATTTATCAATTACCAACTTATCGACCTTCTTCGCGAAGATTGTTGCAACAATCAGCCTCGAAACACGAAATTATCGATCGACTGTCATAAGTTCATACGTGACATTGCAGACACGCACACTTACGTGTTCTCGAATGACATACATCTACAAGCAACGTCGCAACGATTGGATTCCTCAGGCTTCAGCAACTCGCCGACGTTGTATTCGTGTCCGTTAACGTAACACTTATCCCGTGATAGATTGTCCAGGTGACTGCAGTCGAACGCAACCGGGCAACATTTGTCGCCAGCCGCGTAAATTGGAGTACAATTGAGCTCCTCGTAGTATCTCAGCGGGCCAGGACACTTTGTTTTATCGCAGGCGATCTCTTCCGTGAAACGAAACATGACGAAAGGTGAGTGAAACTCGCGCAGGTGGGAGAAATAGCGGCACGTGACCTTGGAGCTCGCGCACGATTCGAATATACGTTGATTAGTATGCTCGTTCAAGTGAGAAAATATTCGAAATATTTCTGTAGACAACGAACATTTTCGTTCATTCATCAATTAAAAGAAATGACGATGTTTTTTTTCTTTTATAGAAGAAAATATTTACTGGAAAACAAATAGACTATTTGTATGTAAAATTAATTCACTGAGAAGGAAATGATGAAGAAGAATTATCGAAGGAAAACTTGTAGCTGTACTTGTGTATGTATATCTTGTATAATTCTATAATATTATGTATGTGTTTAATTTTCTCAAATACAGAATCATAATTTTTATCGATAATATTGATCATTA